TACAACAGTGCTTCATCTTGTCTTCAGTCTGCCCTTTCCGATGGAAAACTAAAACTGTAATCTCAAAGCCACCAGACTCCTTTGACAAAAACAGTCATTTTACTTCACAGAACATGGGAGTTGCTGGTCTACCACTGCCTTCATCAGTTATCGTGTTATGTATAGCAGTCAAAATATTCCATATATAGTGTACGTTTAGACTGATATTGATTTTTTAAGGTGGCTAAGATGCATTTTGCTGCTGCCACCTTCCACAGCAGTACACTGCTTAGCTATCATGCCAGGGGATATGGTTCATCAAAGACACTAGCAAAGACAGTGCATAAAATAAGGACCACCATGTTTAACTATATATCTTTAAATGGTACAGTTACAGCTAAAAAATGGCAACAGAAATAAACATATTTGTTCATTTCACATATCTATGCAATTCAGTTTTCTAGTGACAGTAAGTGACAGCAGTTGTTAGTTCAATGTCAAAGTTTTTCAGTCTAGTTTGCCATGAAGTAAACTCACAGATCTGTATCTTATGGATGGGCAGAGGGCACTTGCTCTGGCTCTTACTGAACGTAAGAGGCTGTTACCAAATTGTACACTGGTCACAAGGAAATGTTAAACTGTGTGGGTGTATGAGACCCTCAGAAAGAGAAATCACGATAAGGACCATCAGCTGGTCCAGGAGCTTCGCCTGGATGATGGTCGATCCAAGGCTTATTTTAGGATGAGTCTGGGACAGTTTGACAATGTCCCGTCCATCATTGGGCCTACTTATGGTTAGCAAAATTTTAGAAAGTAGTTGAGGCGATAGTTTGTTCAGATATGTCTTGCAGCTTGCCTCGGATGACACCTAAAGTGAACTAACTTTAGTTTAACACAAACTATGTATGCTACCGCTTGTAGTCATCCCCACCACAGAAGGCCCACCTCTCCATTCAAATGTTGGGTGCTTCTCCTGCTCTGAGTTGAAACTTTTTCAAGGGCACTCCTGCAAAAACTTTAAACGCATAGAGCTAAAACAAAAATGCAAGGCACTCAGCTGTTTATGCCAATTGGCATGCATGCCCATATGTGGTCACAGCTACTGCGAGTTTGCACTTGTTTTATGATTTCTGAGGAGACTTATGGACGTTGACATAATGACAGAAAGTTAAACTAAATTTAACGATATGTGCGTCATATCTGTGTGTTCAGACTGTGAGTAATGACTGAGAAGAAATGATTTGTTCATCTTGTGATAAAAAAAAGGCACCGAAATGTCACCGTGGGATATTGATGACTAATGCTTAAGTAATGCATTTATATTCCATTTGCACTTGTGACTATTGATCAGGGCCTGTATATCACTTCACACACTTATTTATAGACTTATTTTTAATATTTGGATATTCCTTCCAGTGTTTCTAGTAGCTTCTTATTCTCTTGTGATGTGTGATTACATATTTTACCTCTGTGAAAGACACTGTTTGCTGCCCCAGTGACCTAATTTCCCCATGGGTATCACCATTTATCACACAAACACTCATAGCTGGACTGGAAAACCCTGAGCTGACAGACAGTAGGATAAAAATGACACTGACATATTGCCTGTTTCCTCCCAAGAGAGCAACTTTTCTCAACTTTTTTTCTTTTAGCACAGCACTGAAAACAAACCAGAAGCCAAGAAGTCCGACAGTCGACTGGAGATAAAGGAGTGAATAAGCAAGTCCTTTCTTCTGAAGTTAATTAAATACTCAAGGTGTTAAAAGTCATTTGAAGGCACACAAGGTAGCTGTACCTCTTGTTTATTAGAATCTCCATGGCAACATGAAGGCCGTTGGAGTTGACTGACATCTTGTGCTGCCAGTTACTGCAGCACTATGCCCTGACAATACAAGAGATGTGACTGGAATAACTAAAGAAATACACTTGAGTTAAAAATCTAGAAAACCTTCACCCTTTACAGTGAAATGCTTTTAACTGATACATACATGCTGGGAGCTCTGTAAGCGAGCAACACACTCATGTAGCTCACCATGCTCAAGCACACACCTCACATCTGAGAGCTCTTGACAGGTGTCATCATCGCTACCAATATTCTCTCTGCAGCTGTCACGCAAAACCACCACCACTTTTCTGGGACGGAAAGAGAAGAAGAATCCATGCACAACTCTCAAATGTTATTCTCACGCACAGCATACAAGTCTCCATGATAATAAGGGTCTTACATAATTTATGGAGAGGAAGAAACAGTTGTTGTCACCATTTAGTGTCGGTCTGAGCTCTCACAATGTCACACTATGTTACCATACTGCTTCTGCACAGACAGCTACAATTTGAGATATGGTGTGTGTTGCTGCTGAGATTTACTTTACTTACAGGGTAGCTAGCTATGTAGTAAGCATGTCCATTCAGTCTCCTTATAATTTAAAAGAAGAAAAGTCTAAATGAAGAGCAGGGAACCCAAAATAGAAGTCCACATGTAACATTTTAGTATTTAAGATGGAATAAAGTTGTAAATAACTGTATCATCAGTTAAAAAACATGTTTAGAGACACTGATAAAACTGCTTGCCTGGCATAAACTGAATAACTATAGGCAATACATCCATTATTCTGACAGTCAATTAATCGTTTGTCATTCAGCAAGCACAAGTGCGAAACACAGAGGACTTCCCTCTCTCAGTTTTAAGTCATTTTAAAATAGGGCTGAGCAATGTATCGATATTATATCAATATCATGATGAGATTAGATATTGTCTTAGATTTTGGATGTCCTGATTTTAAAGACTGCATTACAGTAACATGATGTAGATTTTTGAACTTATCAGACTGTTCTAGCTGTTCTATTATTTGCCACTTAGGACGCATTCACACCAGGATAGTCCGGGGGACTCGGTTCGATTGGGCATGGAATGCCAAAAAATTTCACACCCTCATTTGGTTCGGTTCACTTTCACACTGCACTTTTTAAAGCGGACCAAACCACCTGGACAATGTCACGCAGTTACAACAGCTTCTCGTTTGGGGGCGGTATTGCCCGAAACGACCACTGACCAGGATGAAATAAAGCATGAGGAAGAAGAAAAGCTGGCTCATCGATTAGCCAGGACCGAAAACGGAAATCCATCTCCTTCAGCCGGCTTGGTCACCACAAAAACACCAAACACCAAAATGCACTGCGCTCTACATCACCTCCTCTCTTTGGTTTGCTGGATAGTCCGTTTGCATTTCCCACTGTAAGCGAACCGCACCAGGGTTCACTTGCAAGTTAACTGAGACCCCCAGTTTTCAAGCGGACCAGGGTTCGCTTGTTTGGTCCGCACCAGAGTTCTAATGAGCGTTCACACCACTCCAAACGAACCAAACTATCCGTGGAAGTGGACCAGAGTTTGTTTAAAACGGACCAAATAGCGCCAGTGTGAATGTGTCCTTGGTCATTATGTCCATATTACTTATGATTATTCATCAAAAATCTCATTGTGTAAATATTTCATAAAGGCACCAACAGTCAATCTTACAATATCATCACAGCATCCATATCAAGTGAGTGAGTAGGTTTTGTTTCAGTTTTTATGCACCTATGTGTGCTTTTACTACATCAATTCGAAGTGGAAACGTTTAATATTTAATTTCATCAAAGTCTGCTTCTGCTACTATCATGTTTTTACTGGGGGGGGGGGACTAATGTACACCTCCTAAATACTTAGAGGACGTGCCCCCTGTGTCCCCCGTAATCTACGCCTGTGATCGATAATGAGGTACCTGGTCAAAAATATTGTGATATTTGATATTCGTTGTAAATATATTTTGGTTTTCGATGGTTGACTGGGCAGAAGATACACTTTGTAAATGTTACCTTAATAATTGTTGGCCCGCCAATTATGAACACAACAAAAGCCTATTTGTTAATTTAACTGTGTAATATTCATTAATGTTTTTTGTCAATAAAATCACAAATTGATCAAAAACAGAGAAGACATACAGCAGCTTAAAAAAAAACCATTACCGGTTATTAATTAGACGTCATCAGACTGCGCACGTGCCACAGGAACACCTTTTTGACCAATTTTACCTGGCTAATTAGCTTATAAGACATTTAATAAACCAAAAATAAGCTGCTGAGCTAAGAACAGTCACTGAAGGAAGTTGTTAAACCTAAAATAATTTAAGCATAGTGTAAAGTAGGTTACTTTACCAGCAGTCACTCCAGAGCAGGTTTACCCGCCCAGCCCTACCTGTGACCCGCCAGGCAGGCGGACCTAGACACAGGAAACTCCCTGGTTTCACCATGGCCTCGGCAGCCCCCCCTCCTGCTCTGCCTCACCTCAGTAACCTATTTATGCGACTACTTGAAAACCCAAATCACGCCACAGTGGTTTCAGACTAGTGTCCGGTGTGTTTTCTGGCTTACTGGTTGTTTTCTAAGGCTGGGAGTGCTACCGTGTATCCGTCCGCGTCAACTCAGCCGCCGCAGGTTACAGTTTACAGCTGAGCTGCGGTGCACCAGCCGGGGTAATGCGGATCCAGTCAACCGTATGAAATATAGTTGACTTTTTCTCTGTGTCACAGAGGCTGTGTGAGTTTCTGGTTGAGGAGGGAGCGCTTTAAAACGGATGTTTAACCAAAGCGAGGATGTAACAAAGTCGCCACTGTGGCGACAAATGAACAAAATACGGTGTAACTTCCCCAGTGTGTGTTAGTGCGCTGCTCTGACCGCAGTTTGAGGGCATTCACATGAAGTTGAAAGCATTCCCTTTCATACAGGTAGAAAGACAGCAAGGGCGTGTTCCCAAGTCTTTCTTTAAAAACACGCATTCAGCCCAACACTCAACAACAGCTTTTGTTCTGTTGACAGAAAAACAGGTAGACACGGTAACCTATAATTCTGTAGGCTTCACGAACCAAGACAGGACATTATAGCATGTAAGGCACAGCTCCACACACTACTGAGCCCGCACACTAACATCTGCAGAATACATATCACACACACACTGTCTCATGTCTTATTAAAACATAACTCACCCTTTATCGGCGGAGATATCATTCCCGTGGTTGATCATTTATCCAGAGGTTATTAAATAGTTTGCCCCAGAGCACACGGTAGGCTGCAGCAGGAAGCAGCCCTTGGTGACCGGAGGAATCACCCTGGCAGTCAGGAATTTCACTGGGGGCAGAGCTTCTCAGCATATGGAGGTGTAGTGCGCAAATATGGCGCTAGGGGGGTGTCTCCTGCACGTGAAGCCACTGCCAATATGTCACACAGCAAGTAGAAGTGAGCCGGCTGCATGTTGAGTTAGTTAATTACAGTAATTCGTTGAATACAGGGGCGTAAATTATTCTAATGGCTCTCAAGGTGCGCACTAGGAAGGGGCCCAATGAGAAGTAGACTAGTTTAAAATCTTTATGGGTACATATTGTAAAAATGTGAAGCTTTTATTCTTAATAAAAACATGTTTTAACATTTCAGCAACTAAAATGTGCACAATAAATCCACTGCCAGGCATCTTATGCTTGAACTGTTGCCAAACCTCAATAGCAGAGCCTAGTCTGGAGTCTTCCTCGCTGGTTAGCTATGGATGCCAAATCCAAAAAGGTAAAAGTCTCTGAATAAAATAGAGAATTTAATAGAGCATGGACAGGTTTGTTTGCTCTCACTGACAGCTCTGCAAAGATAAAGTACTAAATAATCATAAAAAAGTGCCCTGCAGAGTAGCCACCTTATGATAAACCATGAATGCTCATTTAGACTATTAGTGTAGGCTTTTTTAGAATTAATAAACTGTTTTACCTTCATTAACCCTTTGAAACCTGAGCAAATTGGCTTGATTTCTTTTAAACACATGGGAGGAAGGCTATGAACAACAAAAGAAGAAATAACCCCCAAAATTGGCAAGAAATGAAAATGAAAAACAAGAAAATTAGTAAAAACAGTCATAATAATTTTGTAACATAATTCTAAAATGTAATAATAAGAATGATTATAAATATTTCCTCCCCATCTTTTTAAATAATTTTCAAAATATTTTATTTATTTATTTGCAATTTGTGGGACATTTCCTACCAAGTTGCTCATTGCCTTTTTTTCCCCATGTTTTTGAAAGAAATCGCACCTATTTGTTGAGGGTTCAAAGGTTTAAAAGCCTCAAATGTGTTTTGCAGCCCCACACAGATTTTGTTTAATTATTATTTTTAGTCAAAAATGACTCTTTTAATAGTAAAGGTTGTCGACCCCTGAAATAAAGCATGCAGCAAATTGTAAAGAAAAATACTTTCTTCGGGTATGTTTTCAGAATATTAAAATAATCTGTTTTAAATAATAATTTGTGATTGAGATTTTTCCACAAATAAAGTTTAATCACAATGTGCAAAAGTCTTAAAATTGAAATAATTTCTTTTTCATTTGGCTGCAACAGGACAAGTTTTTGAAAAGAGAATTTTTGTCCTTTTTTAAGTTTTTCTTAACCTTTTTGTAAAGTGATTTGAGTGTTGTAAAGACACACCCCAACATTTTTGGTGTTCTAGTTTGTATCTGTTTTTCAGACCTGTATTTTTATTCACTTTACTGGACATTATTTGCTTCTGTATTAATTACTTTGACTCACTTTAATTACCTTTTGCTCTAGCTGTGTTTTACAGAAGGGTCAGAAAACGGTTATATGTAATGTTATTAAACTCTGTGAAGGTGATGACGCTGTCTGTATGGACCTTGATATAACTTAATAAAAAGAGAAATTAACAAAAAAGTTTTCAAATAACATCATCTGTCCACATCACAGTTGTGTAAGTTTCATTCATATTTGACCTTAATTACTTTCCAAACTTGTGATGTGTTATTAATACTAACAGTTCTAGTATTACGGTGTACAGCAGTTGTGCATGTTGATTTATTGCATATTCATATAGTGTACTATATGATTTATGATGAATAATATGATAGGAAATGAGTTGTTATCTTTTTTTTTTCTTGGGGGCAGACGGCCAACAGATTTATTAGATTTATTAGATTAATTACTGGTTACCAACTGGTGAGTCGTGGTCCAAAGTTGGGTCACGATCCACTCTAAATGGACCACAAGTGACTTTCAAATGTGTCAAGTTTGTAAAAAAAACACACTTTATTTCTAAGTACAGTCAATTTCCAGCATGGAGCTGTTATTTTGAAGTGTTGTTTCCTGCTGTAGAGTGAGTGACAAACAGACAGCTACTTGACAGAGACAGGAAACTCGCTCAATGACATGGCCAAACAAGTATTAAACTGCGTGGGCCTCGAACTAATGTGAAGGAAAAATTCAGACCCTGTGGCTGGACCAATTGGGAATCACTGGCCTACATCACCATCATACTTTAACGTATGAACAGCACTATTATGATCATATTGTGCTCTTAATGTTCGCCCCTCATGTGTACAAAATTCAGAAGAACGAGGATCCCCCAAAAGATTTAAGTGCACATATAGCAGTCCATGACCTTGACCCATTAACCACCACTTTCCACTGGTCATTGTCTGGCCAAAAAAAGTATTCTGACCTTTGACCTGAAGCTTAGCTACTTAAAAGTGACTGCAAATGTAAAATAAATGTCTATTTTAATAGGAAATAAAGTAATATTGCAATTTTTTTTGGAAATGCTGATGATTTGTGATCAATTATCCCCTAAAGATCAAAGCCATTAGAAGCCATATGTCTGATCAGTGATGTCGCTGTAAACAAGCAGATGGGATCAGAAAATGGCAGCATCTCACAGAGCTGCTGTTGCCTCAACAAGTCTTAGATCTGCTTTACATGGATGTCACACATTCAGTAAAACAAGCTGCAACATCTTCTGGTTGCATATTCTGTACTCAGCAAGCACACATATTACATAAAACCAGACTTGGTTTTAGTGGTTAAATTCTGTTGTATAACAGCATTGCGAGTATGAAATTCTATTCAGCTCACAAACTTCACAAAAAGACTTTTTCCAGAGAGGTTTTTTAAATATTTACACAAGAGCCAAAGCTCCCTCTGTTCTGCCATCCGCCCACGCAGAGGGAGTGTTTTTGTCACAGCTCATGAAGTTGAACAAGGTAAACAGTTGTCAGTGATACAAGCGCTCGCTCACTCAGAGCAACAGAACAAAACAGTGAAGTGATAGCAATCTGGCCTGGACACAGTCAGTGAATGAAACACAATGAAGTCACTGAGGCCTTGAAGCAACTTCTTAAAAGAAAATGTAAACAAATATTTCTCTTTTCCGTCTGTAACTTCCAGCCCTTTAATAACGGAGGACATTTATTTGATATGTGACACTGACCCTCCCCTACTGCTTTACTGCTGTAACTCATTGTTACAGGAGGAGCTTGGGGGCACTGGTGTTTTTATTGACATGAATACAGGAATGCGTTATTGTCCAAGTGTCTCCTGACGATACACTTTATTTATTAAGAGTTGCGATATGCTCAGTTTTGGAGATATTGTTAAATAAACTGTGGCTTACAAGAATCTAGTTTCCATCTGGAGGCCAGAGCCCCCTGAGCTACTTCGAGATAAACCTCAGTGTCAGGTTACATTAAAGGTACAGCGGGTGGCTTTTATTAAATAACTTTTTTGGTCATATTTGCTGAAACTGTCACAATATCCTCACAATACATGAGACAGTTATTAAGAAAATCATGTTTCTCTGGCTTCTCCCAGTGCTCCTAATGGCATTTGCAAGAATCTGCTGTGCCTAAGTAAAATGACCAATCAGAGGCTGCAGGAGAGTCTTTACCGCAGTGTCAATCACTGCTTGTGCTGCGTACAGGCAAAGACAAGAACACAGAAGAAGACCCGCTGTCACTTAAGCCCCATTTCCACCAAACATTTTCAGTATGGTACCCTTGGAACCAAAAGTAACCCTTCAGACATTTCCACTGCAAACAGTATGCTTAAATATGGGCGGTGTTATTGTCACTCACTGCTCCGTCCAGCACTAGGGCTAGGTACCCCAACAGAGGGGTGACCAAAAATGGTAACGGCACAGAACAGTTCCATTGATACCATCCACAACTTTTTGCAGTGGAAACAGAAAAAAAGCATACCAAACTAAACCGTACCGTACTGCTCGGTGGAAACAGGGCTTTCCAGCGGTCTTGGGATGGGCAGTTAGTTGGTAGTGGTTGTTTCTCAGCCATCCTCCTGAAGTCGTGCTCTATAGATATTGAGCTTGACTGAGTGAGATCATGCGTGGTGGAGGGGGTCAGCGCAGTGTGTCCATGAGTGGTGATTGACACTCATTAGAGACTCCTTCTGGCTCTGATTGGTTGTTTCCATTCAGGCACCGTGGGTTCTTGCAAATGCCATTAGGAGCACTAGGAGGAGCCAGAGGAGTCTGATTATTTCAAGGTTATCTGTCTCATGTACTACTGTCAGGATGTAGTCACAGTTTCAACAAATATGACAAAATATTATATAGCTTAAACAGCTGTAGCTTTAACAGGATAGAACAGAAACACAAAAAGATAGATGCATTATATGGATTGTTCTTGTCCTCTTTTGCTCTCACTTCTTGTGAATAACTGAATATTTTTACCTTTTAGGTCAAAACATTCTTGCTTGACCTGATCATGAACTAAAGACAGTAATCATTGCTTCATTTTAAAAGGAATGGTTCAGCATTTTGACAAATGTGCTTAATCATTGTCTTACAGAGAGTTAAATGAGAGGACTGAAACCATTCTCCTGTCTGTACTGTAAATGTAACGCTGCAGTCAGCAGCATTTTAGCTTAGCTTAGCATAAAGACTCTCATGTTATTCAAGATGCAAGAAGGCGAATCAGCAAATTTCCCAAAATGAATGAGCTTCACTGGGTCACAATCCAAAAAGAATGGGAACCACTGAGTTAAAGGAATGAATGGGAAAGTTCTCGCAGCTGGAGCAGTCCAGATGCTGCACCCTGATTGGCTGACAGTGCAGCCAGCATAATTAGAATTACACAAGAGCAAAATGCCTGAAAAACTGACAGTTTTTTCAGAATTACTTTTTCTTAAATATTATTACAGATGCTGCATTTGAACATTTTCTGCATTTAACATCTGATGTATGTACATAAGTAGACACATTTTCCGATTTCTAGTGCACCTTTGACCTCAGTAAGTATATCTGCTTATATAAAGGTTACACAAAATCAATT